CTCTCTCTCTCTCTCATTCTCGCTCTCTCAAATAAATAAATCTTTAAAAAAAAATAATAAATCTTCAAAAAAAAAAAAGTTAAGGTATAAAGGAAGTAAAAATCAAACCTTCTAAAAACTGTAGACATTTGATTTAGGTGGAGAGAGTAACAAAACCACGTCTTTAATTCTCTTTTAAAGTATTAATATGAAAGTTTAATGGCTGGAGCAAAATCAGTAGGTGTATAAGAAATAACGTGACTCTCAGCTCCAATGGGCTTGAGATGTACATTTCCAGAGAAGAACTTCAGAAAGAAAGGTAGACCCTGTGAAAGATGAACAAGCCAAGGGTTACATAACCACCCCGTACCCACAACCCCCTTGGATGACAGACAGTTTGAGGACTGTGAACAACCATTAGAGACCATGGTTTGTGTGGGGAACCTCCCAGTAAAGTCACCATCCAAATTTCTACATCCCTCTTCAGTAATTCAAACGAAGATACTTTCCCTCTGCACCTTGTGAGGATGTTCAACTTCTAGCGCTTCCCAAGATCCACCTCAGGAGAAGTCAATTTGCCCACAGGAGGCGTAGTTTCCAAAGCTGTCTATTGTGAACCTCTGAGAGATGTGAACTGAATTGAGCTTCAGGGTACCAAAGTAGAAGTTCTCAAACAGCTGAAAAGAAAGAATACAAACCCAGAATGAATATCCAAAGATGAAAATAGCAAACGTCAGATTCTCTTGTAAAAACACTACAACAATCCCAACAAACCTCTCATGCTTTTCCTTTTCAGTATTTATTCTGAAAAACGATCCTGGAGAGAAGGAATGGGAGTGGGAGTGAGAAGAGAACAGAAGCTCTTCTCTCTGGTGAATTTTAAAGCCTCCTCTGATAAAAGACACTAAGGAAAGAGGGCTGAAAATTCAGTTCCAAAATTCATCTACTAAGCACACATGACCTAGAACTTGTAACAAACATCTGGGGCCACACTCTGACTCACAGCACCTAACAAAGCTGCTTGATGACTTTCAGTTCCCGACTCTATAGGATCATCATTTTGTTACAGCCAGGATAAAATATGAGACTGCATTCCTCTATCTAGTCAACAACATTTAGTAGAAGCACCCACTAAAATAAATAGAAGATAAGGCTCCTAACCCACCAGTGATTCTGCCAACCCCGTGAGGACTACAGAACACTTAAGCATACCAAACAGCCTTCTACTGGATGATATCACACGTGCAAATGATATTTATCAAAAATCTTTTATTCAACTTGGATTGAAGCCAGCATCCTAAAGTAAACGCTCTTTACTACAATTATTTACTATAAAAGCTTTCAAGTGTGTCAGAGGGAGGTCATCGATGAGCTATACTCTGAGAGGGACCTGCCCTTGTGATTAGCACATTTATAAGGCAGAATCCAAACTGACATCAGAACTCATCTCAGATGGGCGCCTGGATGGCTCAGTCGGTTAGGTGTCTGCCTTCGGCTTGGGTCATGGTCCCAGGGTCCTGGGATGGAGTCCTGCACGGGCTCCCTGCTCAGCAGGGAGCCTGCTTCTCCCTCTCCCTCTGCCTGCCGCTCTCCCTGCTTGTGCTCTCTCTCTCTCTACCAAATACATAAATAAACTCTTAAAAAAAAAAAAAAAGAACTCATCTCAGAAAACTGCTTAGATAACGGTGTCAAAGCGTAAAGGGCTTACCTTCTTCTGTTAGGATGCAAAAGTTGCCTTTTCTTAAAATGTCAGTAAAATCTCAAGAAAGCCAGCCTTTCCAAACACATACCCAACAAATGCCTGGGTAACACCTAGGGTGGGCCCCTTGCATATAAGCGAGTGACTGTCTCTTCACTTATTTTTATACAACCTCCATAGCCATGGACTTCAGCCACTGTCGCCTTTCCTCTTCCTGCGATTAGCGGCCTCGCAAAATGCCTGGGGTTCATTAAGGCTAACTTCATAAAGCCCCGTAAATATTGATTCTTCCACATGACATCAACTTGACCCCAAAGATCTATTTAGAGGTTGTATGCTGCATTGTCTTGTCTTTCAGAAAGGTGATCAGCTCTTGCCTGCATTGATTTACACAATTAACTTCTCTTCCTGGCTTTGGCAGCCTGTTCAAACCATATCCACCCTTTTGTGTAAAGAAATACTGCCTGAAACTGTTATGCGCTAATCCCTTTGCTGAACCTTAATTCAAAGTGAAAGCCACGTCAACAAGACTGGCAGATTTATAGCTTTGCAAACCAAAGCCTTGTAGGTACAAAAAAGATATAACCAAAGGGGCAATAAAAGACAAGACAAAACAAAACTAAAAGGGAACTCATAATACTTTCAACAAGTTACTTTTTCAGGATTAGCAGCCTAGGGGTCCTCTACCTTCCATCCCCTGTGCCTACGTTTCCAAGTAATATAGCCACAGCTAGGAGCTGGCAAGTGATCTGCCTGACTTCTCTTCGCCTTATGTGGATAACCTCTGGATGGCGTGATTTGCCAGGGAGCTCCTCATGCTTCAGGTTTAAAGTAAACAGTAAATACGGTGATAAGAGCAGCCTGGGGAAGAGTACTGAAGTCAGTCTACACTCACACCCGGCACACAGGAGCTGTGTGACTATGCGTACATGATACTGCCCTGTACGCATAGTCTATACAAGATCAGAGTGGCCAAGATCCGGTAGGATGAACAAGTCAAAGTCCCTTCCTTGTAAACTGTAAGGCACTGCTGAAAATTAAGTGTTTCCTATAATGTTTTTGACATCTCTCTGCTCTCCTTAACCCTGGACTTATATTTTACCTGAGTTGCCACCTTCTTTCGTACCTTTGATAATGTCACAAATGGATTTCTTACCCAGAAGTCCCTAGTGCAGGGCTGATCTTCCTTTAGCCCTTCTTATCTCCATGCTCTTATTCTCTCTGTATGTTGATGAAGATTTCGTAACAATTTTTCACCTTCTCGTATTGTTTAGGCCTTGTTGTGTATCTTTAGTCTTAAGCCTTTCTTTCAGTTCTATCAATTATTTCTTGTGACTCATTAAAATATAAGCTCTAGGGGTACCTGGGTGGCTCAGTCGTTAAGAGTCTGCCTTCAGCTCAGGTCATGATCCCAGGGTCCTGGAATCAAGCCCCACATCGGGCTCCCTGCTCAGCAGGAAGCCTGCTTCTCCCTCTCCCACCCCCCCGCTTGTGTTCCCTCTCTCGCTGTCTCTCTGTCAAATAAATAAAATCTTTAAAAAAAATAAAATAATAAAATAAAATATAAGCTCTACAGAGGAAGGATCTTTTATGTTACTCACAGCTGAATACTACCATATGCTGGAACCGTACCTAGGAGACTGTGTATGATCAATAAATATTTGCTGGAGAGAATGACAACAAAAACTAATGTTGTACATGTCTGCATACCTTATCTGAAAAGAGAAAGCTATGACATGGCCTTGTTCAGACTGGATTTAAAGGTCTTACTTACAGGTCACCACCTAGAAACCCTTGAACAGGACTCACCAAAATTATATTCCCTCTAATCATATCTCAACTGTAACTAGTTGTCAAGAAAGAATTTGTAGTTAGTAATGGAAATTTCACACATTCCTTTAAATTTCTGTGTTTCTTATTTGTCAAAGCCTAGACTGCTTTCTTTTTTTTTTTTTTTTAAAGATTTTATTTATTTATTTGAGAGAGAGAAT